CTTTTAGTAGGTAACAATACTAAGACCATGTCCTCAGGATGGAACTTAAGTTCTTCAAAAGCTGGAATAGGTTCCAAAGGAGCAACAGGAATTTTCTGATTAGATTTTACGACTAACTGACAGGTATGACAAGTTTTACAAAACTGATAAACGTCTTGCCTAATTTTTGGCCAAAAGAAATGTCTCATAATTTTGTCACATGTCTTGTTGACACCTAAATGACCTCCCATGGGGAGTACATGGGCAACTTTCAATATTTCAGAACGATATGCTTTGAGAACAACGATTATATAAACAATAGCCCAGTCCTCTGAAGCTGGCACATTTGGTGGTCTACATTTCCTCATAAGCACACCATTTTTGAAAAAATAACCATTTGGAACTTTCTCCAGTTCATCTTCGGGTCGCTGGTTCGAATCCCCGTCACACCAAACATGCTCGCCCTTTCAGCCGTGGAGGCGTTATAATGTGACGGTCAATCCCACTCCTCGTTGGTAAAAGAGTAGTCCAAGAGTTGGCGGTGGGTGGTGATGACTAGCTGTCTTCCCTCTAGTCTTACACTGCTAAATTAGGGACGGCTAGCGCAGATAGCCCTCGTGTAGCTTTGCGCGAAATTAAAAAAAAACAAACAAGCAGTTATAAAGAAATAGAAAGGTAGAAAACACGTGCACTTCTGAACATGAATCACTTATTTGAACACTATAGATAACTAAAACTACAAATGAATATGTACAATATTACCTACATTGAAGAACAACTCTGTTCCCCGAGTTGTTTTTCGTTGCGTTGTTACTGTAAATATCAAATACCTGGTAACACAAGATAAGCGAAGTCTAGTAAACCGGAAAACGTGACTCTGTTTTGGCATATCTCGTAAACGTAATAATTTTTGTTTCTTCAATATATTACTTGAACATGAAAGCATGGTAAACTTATACACCCATTATTACTGCAGATAAATCAATACATTCCATTACAAATTATATTTGTTTGTTTTGAATTTCGCGCAAATCTACACGATGGATATCTGTGCTAGCCATCCCTAATTTAGCAGTTAAAGACTAGAGGGAAGGCAGCTAGCCATCACCACCCACTGCCAACTCTTGGGCTACTTTTGTACCAACGAACAGTGGGATTTACTGTCACATTATAAAGTCCCTATGGTTGAAAGGGGAAGCATGTTTGGTGGGACGAGGATTCGAACCCGCACCCTCAGATTGTGAGTCAAGCGCCCTAAACAAATAAAATGGACTGCGGATGTAGTTGTACGTGTAAAATGTGTAAACTAAGTGATTTTTAGTGATATTGACCAACTGTGCATAGCTGAAGTATACCTCGGGCAGTTTTATATACACATGTATGCCAATGGTCTGCACCCATGAACTTTGTAGCTACAATACCTATAATGGTGGTCAGTTGATCTGTTATTACCAAATGACAACTAACATTCTAATCAAAGCATATCTTCAATACAATACACACACGTATATATATATATATATATGTATTTTTTACACTCCACTCCACATAACTACATCAAATATTCTTTGATTAGTAAAATATTACAACCTCACTTCACTAGCTACGAGGGTAAAGTAAGTACTTTTACATATATTCAACCAATTGCGATTATAAAAAAATTAGCGTTTTCTGACCACATGTTTTCCATAATCACATTAATATAATTACCTCAAAGTAAAACTACATAAGTATTAATACGGCATAAAGCAACCAGCAGCATTGACGTTTCGTTTTAGTCTGAAGGAAATATAATAGTTTACATAGTGGATAGTGTTATGATGACACAAACGAGTCCAATCGTAATTGTCATTTCAAGCGCCTTCTATCTGAAAACATTGATAAAGACCGGTTGCCCACTAAAACCCAACGAGTCTTAGAAGTATTTGATTCAACCATTATTAGCTGTCGTTTCTTAGGGTTCTCACTAATTACTGTGACATAATCGTACTTGAAGAAACGTAATCTAACTCAAGTAAAAATATTCGATACCCGTCATTTGGAGGTAACGAAAAGGTAAATTGGAACAGAATATTACTATTTAATAAACATTTACTGGTTTTCGCTAGCTATTAGGTCCCCCAGAGGGACTGCGGTAAGTTTACGGACTTACAACGCTAAAATCTGGGGTTCGATACGGCGCGGGAGACACAGCAGGTAGCCCGATGTGGCTTTGCTCTAAAACAAACTAACTATTAGAAACACCAAACTTTGTGGTTATTTTAAAGCAGGTAACATAAAACTCTGAAAAGGAATATTTTATGTATTAAAGTAGTCTCCAAAATGTTACCCCATTTATACTTGTTATATTTCAGCAATATGTTTTTCTATAAGTAATATCACAATAATGTGTTTACTGCATCAGTAACCAGAGGTGGTTTGTTTGTAGTTAAGCACAAAGCTACACAGTGGGCTATCTGTGCTGTGTCCATCACATTTTAATAATTTGATGGACTTACATAGCAATCCTGAAAATAGATAAATCCTCTTTCTTAACTGTTCAATTATGTTTTGGGACTATTTGACTCGACACTGGTTTTCATAACGTTATGATACAATTAGATATATCTGAATTTAATACTACGAGAGTTTACATTAATTTCTAATAGTTAACATAAAAGAGTAAATGTATCTAAAAATATTTAATCATTTTAAATTTGTTTTGATTTGTTTCAAATTGCATAAGGTTAGTATTTTTGAATCCATATTTGAATGCAGGAAAAAAGGAAGGTTATAAGAAATTTGCCAGTTGTTCTGTCAGACACAAAGAAACTAAAAAAAAAAAAAAGGTACAGACAAAAGTCTGTGTAGGTAGATCTAAAACATTTTCCTTTTCACACATTGCCTAGTGGTTAGGGTACTTGACTCTCAAAGCCGGTAAAGAGTAACCCAAGAGTTAGTGGTGTTTACTAGCTGCCTTCCCTCTATTCTCTTTCTTCGACATTAAGAACGGTTAACGCGGGTAGTTCTCGAGTAGCCTTACGCGAAATTCAACAAACAAAAACAAAAGAACATTTTTAGGGGAGGAGATGTATATGGCAGTGTGATAATCAGGCAAAACAGCATTCTCCTTATTATTGAGCTTATACTGACGTCTAAGCAATTAAGACAGTTCTGGTGAACTTATAAAATGAACCAATAGACTAATCAACCGACTTCTCTTTTTGAACTTGATAAATGATCGCAAACACCAGCTATTTTTCAGCAGCGTTGACTCTTTTTGGATCACATAGTTTTAACTATGGTATTACACCAGTAACTATCGATTACACTTCACTTATCACTTCAGTCGGAGGACCGAATCTGCGATTCTGTTTACTATGCAGATGTTTTGAGCAACAAATGTTTTTTAATGTTCCTCTTCATAACATTTCTTTAGCATCAGACCTAGTTTCGGGACCAGTTATGGTTGGAGTAAGACATACTCTGCCAATTTAGGGTGTATCATTATTTTGGGGAAACGATTTGGCTGGGGGAAAAAGTTGTTGCCGAACCTAAAATGGCTAGTGAGCCGATCATTGTTTCATCTAAGGATGATGCTGTCGTTGAGGAGAATTCCAATGTGTTTCCCTAGTGTGATATGACTCGAGCTCAGGCTAAGAAATTAAGCCAAAAACAAATGATAGACATGGATTCAGAGGACGATATTATACATTTGTCTCTGACATTTTTTGGATCCGACGGGGATCATGTGAATGATCGTCCTACTGACAATACCTCGGTGAGTGACAATTATGGACGTGAGGGATCTGATTTACCTGGTGAAGTTCCGTTTACTAAAAGTAAACTTATTGCTGAGCAAGAAAAAGATCTGCAGATCTCTTCACTATTTAAATTTGCACTCCAAAGCAGATTGCGAGTCGAGCACCCTAACAACCTGGCCATGCCGGGCCCTTGGCATTGCAAAAACATATTCTTATTTATTTCCAAACAGCTTGATTTAATATAGACCAATAGATGTATTTTTCACACTAGTAATACATTTAATATCTTTAAGATTTTTATAGACTTATAACTATCAATATTACATTTGCTTATTTGATAAATATATGCTAGTTTCTTGGTAGCTCAGCGGTAAGGTAGAAGGGCTTCTAACTATAAAGTTCGGAGCTTAATCCCCTCGACCAACACACCCAGACAGCCCATTGTGTAACTTTGTGCTAAAACAAGTAATCACAAAGGATATTTTTACAGAAATAGAGCAGTAATTAGAAAGAAATATAGTACGAAATCTTACCCTATGTCTTAGATTATATGTGAGAAAAAGGTTTCTTGCAAAAGAATTAGCAAAAGCATGATAAAAGTTGAGGACTTCCAAAAGCTTGTCTCTCTTGATGGAGTGTATGTCGCAATACGTCAGGGCTCTGACGTTAGCACAGGACTGACCCATTGTAGGTTCTTTCCAGAATACGTCCCCGAAAACATCGCCTTTTCCTGTTTTAAAAGAAATGTCAATGTAAATTACGGAAAATTACAAACAATATAATATCTGTGACTGTGAAAAAAAGATGATATTCTATGAAATATACTAAGCTTAAAGCAACCATACCATGTTACATAAAAAATAAAAAACCTAGAAGCCTAGAGTTCTAGAAGAATCTAGAAATCTGGGCTGCCACTTGTTTTATTTTGTAATATCTGTTAATCTTGACGTTACCTGCCACTTACGAAGAAAAGGGATTACAGATTGTAATTCTTTTGTCGACAGGACTGACACTAATGATACTGGTAAGACTGTAGCGGAGTAAATACAAAATATCATTATATAAATCAATTATTTCTCCTGTTATGCGATTATCACACACTGTTTTATTTTCGTAGGTTACAGATGTCAAACTTTTAAACCCAAGGTTGGAGTTAATTTCCCTCCTGTGTTTTGGAACTAACAGATAATAACAAGCATCGCACGGCCCATCAAAGTACTACTACAAGTGCCCTTTGCCTACAAATGAGTGCATTATAGATAAACTGGAAAATCAAGCTCAATTAATAATCAACGAAACAAGTAGATTCGCAAGTAGCTGAAATTTAGTAACATTTAGTAATTATAGAATATGTTACCTTGAAACTAAAGATGGTGTGGTAAATGTATATGTATACAATAATATCTACTGTAAACATACATTTTAGGTTTATAATAAAATATAATTGAACAAACATTTAACATAAAAATGTAACATAAATGTATAATTTACACGAGTAAGTTATGTATTTATATATATATATATGTGTGTGTGTATGCAAACATACACTATTTATAATCATTATATTATGTAAGGATGTTTATCAAAATATAAAAAACAGAGCAATAGACCAGTATGTTAAGAAACAAGTTTTAGTGTCTTACTAATAATGTTTTACCACTTAAGCTAAGAACTATTCACACTCCTAAAGCACGAAACACCTATTTGTAGCCCCCCAAGTGGCACAGCGGTATGTCTGCGGACTTACTCTGTCCACCAATAACCGTGGTGGACAGAGCACAGATAGCCCATTGTATTGCTTTGTGCTTAACTTCAAACAAACAAAAAAAACTCTCTGTAATTTCAGGAAACTCAATGTAATATGGTGACAAATTTCTGAAAGCTATTTTATTTCAATATTTCACACCAAACTTAAGTAGTAATTGATGTTCTGAATTTATTGTTTTACGTCGTATAAAAATATTTTATCTGTTATTATTGTCATTATCAAAACTTAGAGAATTTTATATCTGTCAGAAATATCTTCTTAAAATAAATGGTGCGGCCTCTTTATATCCCATAAGTGGTCATAGTTATTATTGAAACAAACGCTGACATAGTATGGTATTCAACTTAAGATATGATATTTATATTCATCTTTGAAGTCAGTTGCTCAAAAATAAAAAAACCAACAAAATCGTTTGTCAAAATAAAGCGTAAATATCAAATGACAAAATATCTATAATCTGACCCATTTTTCAATATTAAAACTTTCCTCGGTCATGAATATAACAAATAAAAATGCTATTCGCATATTTCTTACAGATATGAACATATATGTAGATGTGTTTTATTAAAATAGTAATATATTTTATACATACATTGCAAGCCTAATTTCACACACACACATATATATAATAGCCAATTGTCTGTCCATGTGTTTGTCACGCTTTGTATCTCTTGAACGGTTAATCACACAAAAAATATAAATCAAAATGCAAATTAAAAGGAAATCATTCATTATTTTTGCAATTCCTAAAATTTCATATTGGTATCAACATCGATCCGTTAGCTTTGATATCTGCTGAACAGTCAATCTGAGAAACAATTTATTAAGAACAAAAATGTGAGGGAAATGGAAAAAAAATGGGACTTTCTCTGTCGACAGATTGAAAGAAATATATTGAGGATAGGAACATGAACGGAAAAAAACGTGTTGCATATGTATAGTTGTTGTTGTTCGATTTATATATATATTTATTCCCCCCCCTTTGTCGGTGTTATATACATGCATGATTTTACTTGACCGTGTCGAATAAATTGATTTGAATTGAATTGAATATCTCCCCTGTGATGCTTCTTATAGAAATGACAACTGTCAGAAACCGCTCACTTACGCAGTGGTTTTTTCTTACGCTCAATAAAATGATACGGAACGGTGTCATCCATTAGAAAAAATCTCAGCAACTACTTGACAAAACTGATCTCTCAAATGTGCAGGATACACAAGTTGCATCGAAAAACAAATATTTTTGCCAACAGTTTATTGTATTCAGTCTCCTTTGCTTAAAAACAAAGGGAATGAAATTTTCATTATGGAAATAACACTTGGAATGACAAAAGACATTTGTTAATGACCCACTATACAATCAAGGGATTGAGATGACTGCACTTTATTCATCACTATTTTTCGGAAGATTACCGTTGAATTGTTTCAACGGGTTCTGCTACTAAACATATAATTACAGTTTGAGAACTTAGCATCATTATGTGTAAGTGACCGAAAATTGAGGATCCACAATACAACGAAGTGAAGATATATTTCAAAATATAATCAAAATACGCGTAAAGACAAAAACATACAGAAATATATACAAATGTCAAAAAACTTATTAAGTCGTGATTGGTATATAACTATGTACTAGCATTCAAAAGTCGTTGAAAATAATCCGTTTCGTCAATTATACGTCAACACAGATGAGTATCAGCTGTGCAACAACAGATGAACAATTTTGAAATTGTTTAATTACCCATGGCGAACATAGTGTAGTTGGAATACTGTTATTATACAATCATCTAATTCTTGAAAATCTCTAAGGGACTAAACAAAAAACGTTGCGTTAAAAATATAATAGGCCTAGTACTAATGTATTATGACAAGTATAATTAATTATAATCATGTTTCGCCATCTTGAAGCCCCCCCCCCCCCCAGTAGCACAGTGGTATGTCTTCGGACTTGTACTGGTAGAAACTGAGTTTCGATACCCGTGGAGGGCAGAGCACAGATAGTCCATTGTGTTGCTTTGTGCAATATTACAAACAACAGCCATCTTGAAAAAGGTGTTCACACCACAACAATTGTTTTTCTAACAAATAACTTATATAAATAGTGTTTCGACCATTAATAAGTTTATTGTGTTCCAACCGACCAGTTGAGCTTTGAATTGAGCGAAATACGTCATCGACATTAGATATGGCAAACACAGTGTTGTTAAAGTACTATTATTATACAATCTTCTATTTCTTGAAAATCCCTAAGGGCTTAGATAAGGAATGTAATGTTAAAAAAATAATAGGCCTAATACTAATGTATTATGACAAACACGATTACTTACAATAATGCTGTGCCAGCTTAGAAGCGACGTTTATGTCATAACAATTTTGAAATCATTATAGTTCAAATGTCTGAACCAGGCCCTCTCATAATTTCAAATGTGTTTATCTGTTTTTGCACAGCGGATTCTTATCTGCGTCGTAGTATAATTGAAGTAACGAACTATCTTCAATGCCTTTTGAAAGCTAGTAAGTAGTAATACACCACTCATGATTTTTTTTACCATTATTTATATTTGTTTATATTTTGTCTTTACGCATATTTGGATTACAATTTAATATATATATATGTGTGTGTGTTTGTGTGTATTGCATATGTATTGTAACCTTTTGTCCTCGCCCCCCCCCCCCATGGCACAGCGGCATGTCTGCGGACTCACAACGCTAGAAACCAGGTTTCGATACCCCTGGTGGGCAGAGCACAGATAGCCTATTGTATAGCTTTGTGCTTAATTACAAATAACTAAATAAACAAAACATTTTGTCCTAAAATATATCTAAAATTACTTTTCTCTTGTGAGTTCTCACATGATTGGACTTCATATTAAGTTTCGTGTGCATCTTACAATAGTCAGATATATCTTGGATATTATTGATCGTACATGTATTCCTAATGAGGATGTTTCATGAGGCAGTCACGAACGCTTCCCTTTTCAAATATCTAAAACACATTAAAGATGCTCATTTTATATTCATTCAGTGTTCAGCTCATAAATTATTCCCTGCAGATGCTCAAACAAACCTAAAAACCTGATGGGGATCCGCCCATTATTACTGGAGCGTACATTTCTAACATCTGAAACGCCGCCAAAAAACAATGATACGCAATCAAATCAAATTAAATGTTTTCGTTTTGTTCTTTGGATGGTTCACGACTTAATGTGTCGAATAATCGCTAAAGTCTAGCGTGGGTTTGTTATGAGCTTTCCCTGCATACTGGCTCTAAAAGTCACGCTGCACGAAAGCTGATTGAAGAGACAATTGTTAAGGTATTTGGTTTTCTTCTATCTGTTCATTTTGTGATGTCTAACACACACCCTCCCGGAAATAATTGGAACGAGAAAAAAAACTAGCTAAAAAAATATTCTTCTATAATAGAACATCGGAAAGCTTTAAAATGTGAAAAAAAAAGAGAAGGGAGATAGTTTTGGAACTGTTTTTTTTCAAATATATATATACATGGCCTTACAGTGTTATAATTTCAGAATGCATCAAGAGCGATCGTTCAGTGAACATGAACCGTGGCTGTAAACGTGCACGCGCTGACTAATGAAATTACTTGAGGTTTCTTGATAAATTATGTACACTGTAGACCGATGACGTCAAGTAACGCTGCAGTATCCAAGGCCGAAAGGAGGATTATTCGCTATCACAGTCACTCTGACGACCAGAAAGCAGCAAATTTGGAAATAAAAAATAAAGTATTATTCAATAATATTATTCACTAGCCTATTTGGGTGCTCGATATGTACTTCTGAATGGACTGACAGATGAATTTTATACAATCTAGGCGTAAACGATCAATTTAGCAATTTCGTTTTGGGTTCACTTGAAAATCAGATTAACCTACAAGTGTCCATAGCCTACTTCTTTGTATTAGCGTAAAGTAAAAACACTTATCATCAGTTAGCGCTTTA